CTGGCTGGGCAAGCTAAACTGCTGGCCCTGCGAGTGCTGCCCCTGCCCCAAGTGGCTGTCGTGGGGTCCCTTCCAGGCCCGTTTGCAGAGGAACAAATGTCAGCAGCACCAGCTAGAGAAGCACAGTGTAAACAGCTGTGCTAATCCTGCCCTCCCTGGGTCCCAGTGTGTTACCCGCACGCTGACTTTCCAATTGGCCCCAGCAAATTGCAGGGAGGGAATGGGCAGCAAGGGAGTTGTAACAGAGATGGAGCTGCCCAGCAGTGCTGTTAATAGGATCATCTCTTTTCCTTACTGCTGCCACGTGGCCTGTGCTGGCATGGTCATTGTTTCTCTGCCAAATAGCAGGGATCAGTAATTTTTTAACACCTTTCTCTTCAATTTCTTTTGCGCTTCTTTTCCGCTTTTCGTGGCAGTCAAAAACTGCATCTGCAAAAATGTGTATCCTAGATAGTTCATTCCTCAGAGTGTCTAAAAGAGGTGTATCTCAAAGAGAATAGATAGCTGTCACTCTTAGCAATCTCTGACCAGCCCTGGCCAATACTCCTTTAATGTCCAAAGTGTTTGTGTAACAGCAGCCGGCTCAGTTCTGGGACAGTTTGTAGCCGTTCAGGTAACAGCAGCCGGTGCTCACCCAGCCTTTGGGTGCCTACAGCCTGGGTGAAGGGCTCCTCTGTGACCGCAGGTGGGATGTTTCCCAACTACCTGCCCCGCACTCCTGGTGTAAAGACCACATGGGCAGAGCTTGGAGAGCACCTGTGTGCACTGCAGCTTCGTCCCAGCAGCTGGGTCATGGGGTGTTTGTGCTTTCTATGGCGGGGGCTTGGCTTGGGTTGGCCTGTGTTGGGCCAGACATCGCAGAGGCAAAGTCCGAGATGATCCCTTCTGGAGGAGCCTACGGGCTCTGCAATTCACACACTGGGAGGAGCAATGCTCTGTGGTCCCTGCCATAAGCGATTGGTGGCTGGCTCAGGGATAGAGCTCAGTGCCCTTTGCCTGGTTTGTCACTCATACCGTTCTGGGAACAATTCTCATTATTTTTGTGAGCTGTCCTTCTCACGTGCTTTTATCTACATGCATTGGACTGTGGCTGAGACAGCTGGATGGCCCTGCTCTGTGGCACCATTCAAGATGTGCCTGGCTTTGGGCCCACATCTCCCTCCAAGCGAGTTCCAGGCTCAGCTTTCATCCTTCTTCTGCGTGCTTTTAGCATTGCCCTTGGCAGGCATCTGCTCCTTCCGTGCCTGGCACTGGCTGCAGCTCCAGTGCCTGCCTCAGACAGCGCTCCTTCAGGGTCACAAGCGAGAGGGGACGGATGGGGTTTTTCCAGCTCATCCTTGCCTCCCGCGGTGCAATGAGGGCAGATCCCCAATAGATGGCACTTGAACCTCTTCCCTGGCAGGTTTTTTTGCCTTCAGCATCGGGACGTTCAGACCTGCGTCCGCACTGATGGAGCGTGATCCTGCTGTGGCACAGGGCAGTGTGCGGGACAGGGAAGTAGAGGAGCAGGTCGGTGTGCGAGGTGGGCCAAGCAAATCCCCCCGTGACTTCAAAGGGTGAAAATAGCATCTCTTTGCTTATGAGAAGGCTTGGCCGGGCCTGCCTAATGGGGCCTTCCTCACCCGCACACAGTCCTGTTCTTGCATCTTGCAGTGTCTGTGGTACACCCTGGGCAGCGTAAGCTGCACAAGGTATTAGGTTGTACTCTGGGCCCAATGGGAAACATAGCTCAGAGCGAATCTGTGCATTCAGCTAATCCTCACCACATTGTCTTCACCTCTCCTGCCTGTCTCCCCTGTTGTACTGCTTGGCCAGGATTCCCACAAAGGGATGTCTCTGAGGGAAAATAACATGTGGCACACCAAGAGCTAAGGCTTTTCAGGGATGTCTTCTCCATGGCAGCAGCAGGCAGGAGCATTTGGGTATTGTGGAAGTGAACTGGGATCCTGGCTCGGCTCACATCTCTCTGCCCTCTCCCTGTCTCCGCAATGCCATGTGTTCTTGCAGAGGGAGCTTGTCACTTGCCTCCCTTTGGCTCCTGGTCTGGCCAAAAGGAATTTAGAGAGATCTTCAAGCAATGCTGTAGCAAGTGTGTGAGCTTACCATAAATGTTATGCAGGGCATTTTTCATGTTTTTGTCGTGTGACCAGAGAAAACATGGCTTCTTTGACTAGGTTTGAGATTTGGATTTGATTTGAACCCTGTAAGCAGATCAAAACTCCAGGCATGAGAAACCCATAGGAACTAAAACCAAAGCAAAGCGATCACACGAGATGCTTGGGAAGTGAAACCACTGAATTTTGCATAGCTCCAGCAGTGTGATCTAGTAACAGGCTAGATTACAGTCTGGGAGCATACAGCTAGGGGCCAGGAGACACCACTTCTATTCTTGGATCTTCTGCAGCTTTCCTCAGTGACCTTCAGATAGTCAAGTAACCTTCCTCTGTCTTAGTTTTCTCCTTTGGGAATAATACTATTACTTACCCCTGGAAAATATTTTGCTATCCTTGGACAGAAGTTTCTTGGTGGTGTTCTGCAACCTGTATGTGTGTGCAGGAGCAACACCTCCAGACTTCTCAGGAGGCTTTCTTTCCAGTATATGATCCAGCAGCATGACTTGTCATCTACTGGGAACCCATCTAACATCTCAAGCCTCATCCTTGGGGCAGGGATCACATAAGACAAGAGCTGGAGCAGTAGGTTGCAGCTCAGCTTTCTGGAAGGGCTGCTTTTCCTCTGGGGGGTCTGCTAAACTAGCAGCCTGGTCTAGTTGAAGATGTCCCTGTTCACTGCAGGGGGGCTGGGCTAGATGACCGCTAAAGGTCCCTTCCAACCCAAAGCATTCTGATTCTATGATGATTCTAAGTTGCTTATCGCTGGTTGCAGCAGTGTGTCACCGTGCGTCATTCAGAGGAGATGCTGGATGTTGCGGATTGATGGAGAGCTTGGATCTGGCAATCAATTTGACATACATGCCATGGGCGTTGTGGTTGTGGAGCAAGAAAGAGGCCATGGTACTTTAGCAGTGCGAGGCGCAAGGTTAGTTGGAGAGGAACCCGGATGTGTGCGTTTCTCCTGCGCCTGCTGGAACATGGAGATGCCCACAGCTACGCAGTCTGAGAAAACACTGGCAGCAGGTGTGTGTGACCTTGACCCCCAAAAGACCTGGGCATACCTGAAGCTGGTGTTCCTGGCTATTCTGGCTGTATGAAATACACAGCAAGACAGAAATAGCTGCTCCACAGGCATCTGCTGAAACACGTGTAGGCAAAGGTTGCAGAAGCAGCGCTAAGACGAGGAATTACAGGATTAGTTTCTCTTACAGACCTTCACGAGGAAGGGCCAGTGGCTCCAGTGCCGGAGTAAGGAATGAATAAAGGCCTGGGAAATGTGGCTTTATAGGAAAAAAATGAATCTTCTTAAATGACATTCACCAGGGTAAGGAAGTGATAAGAGATTCTCAGCTGTCAGGCTTTGGGATGTACCTTGATCAGTTAGGGATCAGGAATAATTCTTACCTAACATTAGCTATATTATTGCATATGTATATGGAGGATTTCTGCTTCCATTTGGCATTTTAGTCTCTCCCGCTGGAGGCAGGATGCTAGACTAGTGAGCTGATAACACGCACCATTACCTGTTTTCCTGTGCTCGTGCCGTAAGGAATCCAGAAGTACCTGTAAGGACAGATGGTGACTTGGAGTCGTAAGATTGGGCGGTGATTTCAATTTGGTGTGAATTGGGGGGGAAACTGGTGCAAGTCAGTCCACAGTGTGAATGCAGAACTTGCAGAGCACCTATGCTTTAATAGATGGGAATGTCTGCTACCACGGGCGTCTGCTAGGAAGGCACGATCTGAAAAGCAGAGCTGTTTTCTGGCTCAGACTCTGTGCCTGTTGTACTCCTTCAAGAAAGACACTTTGCTAACTGCAGCAGAACCGAGGCCCTTTCCCCTGCGAGGAAGATGCTCTCTTTCTTTTCCACAGCCAGCGTTTTGTGAGCGCCCTTTCCTTACCTTGTTGCAGGCGTGCTGGCTGAGAACGGGCGCCGGTACGGTAACCGGCCTGTGCTCTCCTGGCGCTTGTACACAAGCGGAGACCTCCTCAACGCTGCGACCCAGTCCCAGGAGGAAGGCTGGGACGAAGGGCTCTGCTGGCCCCAGGGGACCGGCAGTGGGCAGAGGGGACCTTTCACCCAGGGGAGCTTTAATCGCTGCCGCGGCGCTGGCAGCGGGCGAAAGCCCTGCGCTGTTCGTGCGGGCAAACGCGGGCTCAGCGCGGCTGGGAA